AGACTAAGGACTGTGAGGAGTAAAGTGCCTGCCACTCTACTAAATGCAAAAAAAGCAATGCATGCTAGAAAAGGTCCTCTAGTCCAAACTAGCCTTAAGAAAATAGAGTGCTTACAGACTAGTCTTTTGGGTGGTAAGTTTGTTGCAGGACGCATTCAGTAGTTAAGAAGGCATCTTAGATATTTAATTGAAGTAAACTTTACTAAATTCGCAGGAAAACTTTGAATGATTCTGAAGCAGCACATTTGCTTCCCGCATTAAGAGATTAACATGGGAAGGGCAGACCAAACCTGAAGACGAAAAATAAGTGAACGGTTCACAACAATTACAGGCAACAGTCTTTGCTAAAAAAAATTAACGTGGTAAATGTTACGGGAGGGTATAGACGTTCGGCACTCAAGTATATACATAGAAATATAGAAGGAAAGCAAATAACTGTTCGCGTATTGGAATATGCAAGGAAATTAGATAAAGAAGCAGACAATGACTGTAAGTCACTTAAACGAACAGATAACTTCAAAAGCAGTAAAAAGTCTTTGGGTCATTAAAGTCGTTATTGAGAATACAACGTTGACCCGCGTAAACAAGCGAAACACCAAACAGACTAGTTAACGAGGTTATGTAGAAATAACTGTTGAGAACGAGCCTTGAAATCACAGGTCCTCTAAGCAAATTATATCAACTTCAAACAAGTAAATTAGTAATGAAAGTTTAACAAAGACTAAGTAATCTGAAATAGTTTTGGAGATTAGTCCTGGTCAGGGAAAATCTCCAACATCACAGCGATGATGGAGAAACCGACAGCTAAGAATACAAGTTTTAACAGCCGTAAACCTGGTTGACCAAGCTCATGTGGGAGGATTTCAAAGCAAGTTATATACAAAAACGTTCCACAAGCGAAAGCCTGAAAAAAGCATTTTAACAAAGAAAACAACCAAACTTGTAAATTATTATTGCTAAAAGGAACTCCAAGTCCTGTGATAGCAGAAAGGACTACCGTCTTTCACGACATTATTTACATGGAAAGGCTAGCTTTCTCTCCCTTTACCCTACAACGATAAATTCGGGAATGGCATTCTCTGAAAGAGCCGCTGAAAAGCAGCTCAAGCACGGGCAGGATCGAATACTGTTGAAATGCTGTGCCGAGCTCAAGCTCTGCAAAGCTGTGGCCGTTTTTATTTTACTTTTTTTTACTTCTCAGTGCCCATCCGTATTTGGTAATCTCACCCAACCACGATGGGGCAACGATCATAAAATACACTTTGCAAATTTGAAAAGTAATGAAGAGTGAAATTCTACAGTCCTCTCAAAAAAGCCATCCGTTATAGGGATTCTACTTCGTCCATTCAAAAGAAATACGACAGTGAAATAACTACCTGAGCACATCCAGTAATCATCACTGCTTTTGACGGCGACCCGGCACTAATTAAATCGAGTACAGCAATACCACCGAACCCCCCAATGATAACTTGAGATGTGAAAATCAGGCAACATATTATTACAGTAAAGACACGCATTTTAGACTGAACAAGACGCAAACCCAATGAAAAACCAATTATTGATTTGTGAAGCAGAAGAGCAAAAAAAACCTGAAATAAAGGATTTACTTATCAATGCAAAGATACATATACTGAAAAAAATAAAGTAATGTCTGGATCGAATAACGACATAACGGTACTTGTCGTAAAAACCTTATTCTTTTGAAAACCAATTTAAAACTACTATAACTGCAATGCCCCTCACTGAAATATTCTTAAACAGCAAAATCATCCGGGTTCTCCCTTAAATCTGTTCAAAAAGCAAAAAGAACTAGTACACGAAGGGCATGCATTTCTCGACTTTCAAATCTATCATTTCCCAGCATGTTAAAATGAAGTAAACTGCGTTTAGTAAAAACTGATTCCAAACTTCGCATCAGGTGGAGTACTAGGTAAAGTACTACGGGTAAGCCACAGGAGCGACATTTAGAAAAAGGGTGCACTTCGTCTCGCTTATTCTTTTAAATAGGTGCCAATGTTTTTGTTAAAAAGACCACCTTTTTTATATAGTTAGTCACTTTAGCTGTGCAAGCAAATACCTTGGAAAAACGTTCAATTCTAAGCTCCATTTCCTTAGCTCCAAAAGCATCCCAAAAAATTGCTAAATTTTTTACTAAAAAAATGACAGTACAATATTCTCGCTCCTCTTCATCTATAATTCTTAACAAAAAAAGTAAAGAAAACGCAACAGAAAGCGATTAGCTTTCTCTACCTGTAGGATAACATTGACGTCTTGCATAATACCTAAAGAAAGACCTTCAAATACAGCATGTAACGATAAAGCCATCACTAATAAAGCTGCACGCATTGTTGAATGAGACGACGGATCAAAATGCGGATCAATTTCATCGGTAGAATCATCTAAAGTGACTTTTACAGCAAATGACTGCAAGAGTTCCTTGTGTGATTTCTACACTGTAAAACAATTAGCCAGCTTGCCGTGCCCATAAGTGTGTGCGTGTGCTCGAAGGTCTCTAGGATCAGCTAAAACTTCTTCATGTGATATTAATCGGTCTATTGTTTCGTCTCCAATCCATTCCTGTTCTTTCAAAAATAGTGCTACCTAAAACGGAACACGGAGAAAGATTCAGCGAATCACCAATACAGAACTATTTGATAAAAAGCTAAATAACTTATGAAACCTATACATGATAACTCAGTGAAGCGAAAAGAGAGCAGGAGGAAATACCTGTTCGACTGCGAGGACGAAAAGAAACCCAAGCGCCACAATAAGTTCCGACAATGGCAAAACTGTATTAAAGTATCCATGAACTTGGGCTTGACGGACATTTTTAATTGCATCCGGTAACAGGTCTAATAAGCAAGTACTCAAAAACACTCCCCCACCAAGGACTGAAAGAAGCGAAAAAACTCGAATGTGCCTGGTGCTACCGTCGCTGGCCCATTTCCGTATTAAAAACGGAAGCTTAAATAAATATTATTCAGATAGGTAATGACAAACGATAAACTGCTAGGGAACATTTACAAAGCGTAAAACCGAATATTACCAATTTAGAAGCCGTTTCTAAGCTCACTAAGTAAGACGAAAACTGGCTGTTCACCAAAATATTCAAAAAATAAAACATGTAAAATTTTCTAACTGTAGACAAGAAAACCTACAATGCTAGCGAGGAAAGAGATAAAAAACAAAGTAAGAATCAGGACTGCTTTTAGTGCATCATGCATTGGATTTGGGGGAGGTACAGGTGCCATAGTTGTGGTTGTCGTAGAATTATTCATGATGAATTCGTTACGAGTTTGAGAGTAGCTGCTGGAAAAACAGAATTAGAAAGAAGCGAAAACAAGGAAATGTTTAGAAATTTCAGATCTACATATATAACTTTATCTTAAGAGCAAAAAGCCATTTGATTTATAAAATAACCGTACAATAAATTTTACTGATGATATGCTGCAGAGTTTCTTG